CTGAACCATTTTCAATTCATTCCCAATTTGGGATGACCTCACACCACTTCCATATGTGTTTCAGTCATTTCATTTTTCTTAAAGCACTGGAGAGGCACAACTGCCGTGTTTAGCAGCTGTCTCATGGCAATCTGGGCCTTTTTGGAAAATATTTTGGGTGCCTTGGGGATTTTCCAGGTAAAATCCAATGCCAAACAGGTCCTCATTGTTGCATGCAGCTCCGCAGCTGCACTGGAGGTGGATTCCTACCTGTGCCCAATTCTCCAGCCTTACTTTCAGTGCCACACCTGGAACCACACCTGCCAATTACTTTTATTCGCAATTTTAGGACAAAGACGAGGCCGTTGTGCTTCTAGGGGTGCAAAGGGATGCAAAGTGCCAGCAATATAATCTGTGCTTGTTTCCAACCCCCTTTTCCAGCTTTGACCCCCATCTGCTTTTCCTCAGGGCACCAACTACAAGAAGACGAATCCAGCCCTGGAGATCCTGAACACCAAACGGAGCTCGTTTTGGGCTCAGGCTGAGGTTAGTACATGCACTCATGCGTTGGCGCATGGTTGGGAGAGGGATGGGAGGATGCCTTCCTTTGCTCTGGGTAGCAAAGAGGGAGAACCCGCTCCCCCCCCCCAACACCTGCCTTACCTGCCCCTTTGCACACCTAGAGGGAAGAGGAGGAGCGGCGAGAGGAGGAGCGGAGGAGGGCCCGGGAGGAGCGCCGGCGCTGGGAGAGGGAGCGCATGGAGGAGGAGCGACGCCAGGCGGCCGAGAGGGAGCGGCGCATCCAGGAGAAGGAGCAGCTCATCCAGGAGCAGAGGTGGGAAGCCTGGAAGGGGGCACCTGTGCCCTTCCCCAGACATTTGTGATAATAGAAATATAGTCTCTAGAGCAGTGGTTCCCAACCTTTTTTTGACCAGGGACCACTCCCCAATATTAGTACCCAAAGGGTGGATCTGGCCAGGGTGGTCCATGCCTTCGTCACCTCCAGATTGGACTACTGTAATGCACTCTATGTGGGGCTACCCTTGAAAACGGCCCGGAAATTTCAGTTGGTCCAACAGGCGGTGGCCAGGTTGTTAACTGGTGCTCCTTACGGGGTGAGATCAACCCTCCTGTTTAAGGAGCTCCACTGACTGACGTTCATTTTCCGGTCCCAATTCAAGGTGCAGGTGCTTACCTACAAAGCTCTAAACGGTTTGGGACCCGCCTACCTGCGTGACCGCATCTCTGTTCACGAACCCACACAATCTCTTTGATCATCTGGAGAGGCCTTGCTCACGATCCCACCTGCATCGCAAGCGTAATTGGTGGGGACGAGGGACAGGGCCTTCTCGGTGGTAGCCCCTCGACTCTGGAACTCTCTCCCTAAGGATATCAGGCACGCCCCAATGCTAGCAGTTTTTAGGAGGAGCTTGAAAACCTGGTTGTTCCAGTGTGGCTTCCCAGAATAAGGAAACTCCCAGCAATATGTCCCCAAATGCACTTTACTAGAGATCTAGGATGTCTGCACGTCCCATCCCCCTCCAAATACCTATCCTTTTCACCTGGTCATGCCCAGCATATTTTAAATTTTTTAATTATTACATTTGGCCCTGCCATAGTTTTTAACGTGTTGTGGTGTCTTGTTAGTGTTTATTGCTTTGTTTTGAGTTCATTTATTGTTGTATTGTTGTTATTGTTGTTTTACTGATGTATTTGGGCTCGGCCTCTTGTAAGCCGCACCGAGTCCTTCGGGAAATGGTAGCGGGGTATAAATAAAGGTTTATTATTATTATTATTATTATTATTATTATTATTAATACAAAAAACAAACCTGGCTATCAAAATCTAAGACATCTCACAAAATTTCACATTTGCTGTACATGGATGACCTGAAGCTGTATGGGAAAACCGAAACTGAAATCCGGTCTCTGACTAACACTGTCCAAATCTTTAGCACAGATATCAGCATGGAGTTTGGTTTGGACAAATGTTCGACAGTGGCACTGAAGAAGGGAAAAATCATTGAAGGTGAGGGCCTAAATATGCCCAATGGCCAAGCGATAAAGTGTCACCAGACAGAGGCCTATATAGAAATATCTGGGCAGACTACAGCTGGACAACATCAAACATGAACATGTGAAAACTGTGGTCAGCAAAGAATACATTCAAAGGGTCAGAAAAAATATCAAAAGCAAGGAGGCAACACCATCAAGGCCATAAACACCTGGGTTGTACCTGTCATTAGATACACTGCTGGCATCATCAAGTGGACACAGGCAGAACTGGACAATTTGGACAGAAAAACAAGAAAACTCATGACCATTCACAATTCACTACATCCTCACAGTGATGTTGACCAGTTAGTTACTTCTCTCCATTCTTGTCCCCCAGGAAGCTGCAGGCAGAGAAAGAAGCAGAGGAGCGCCGGAGCGAAGAGGCCCGAAGGCAGGTGCGTCCCCTTTTGCCTAGAAGCAGGGCAGGTTGCGCGGGCGGGTGGTGTTTTGGAGAGAGGGTCTGAATACCAGATCTTGCCCCAAACTTGCCTTGGAGCTCTTCTGCACTGTTTCTTTTATTGCACTTTTATTCCACTTGACCTCACAACCTCTGAGGATGCCTGTCATAGATGCAGGTGAAACGTCAGGAGGGAATGCTTCTAGAACATGGCCATACAGCCCGAAATGTCAGTGACATCCATCGCAGAGCAAGGCAGGAAACAGATTGATCACAGCACCTTAGGCTATAAACTACTTTATTTTACAGCTATATACATTAGAATCTACTTAACACTCAGCACATCATAAAACTTGCTCCTTTCTGTCCAATCGTAACTTGGCAAACACATGAACACTGTTATCAGTACTAGTCCACACCTCTTGCATTCCAGAGTGACGTATGGCGTATGTCAAATGCTGCGTCTATTTGCTCTATACACTTGATTTATGGCTTCTCCAGGAATGCTGTTTCCTCCATGGTTCAGTTAACTCTTTCTACATATGTATACTCAGCACATAGCCACTGCATTTTAAACATACATACATAGGGTTGTTGTAGGTTTTTTCGGGCTGTATGGCCATGGTCTAGAGGCGTTCTCTCCTGACGTTTCGCCTGCATTTATGGCAAGCATCGTCAGAGGTAGTGAGGTCTGTTGGAAATAGGACAATGGGTTTATATATCTGTGGAATAACCAGGGTGGGACAAAGGACTCTTGTCTACTGGAGCTAGGTGTGAATGTTTCAACTGACCACCTTGATTAGCATAGAATGGCCTGACAGTGCCTGGAGCAAACTTTTGTTGAGAGGTGATTAGATGTCCTTGTTTGTTTCCTCTCTGTTGTTGTGCTGTTGTAATTTTAGAGTTTTTTTTAATACTGGTAGCCAGATTTTGTTCGTTTTCATGGTTTCCTCCTTACAACAGCACAACAACAGCACAACAATTACAACATACATACAGTATATTCTGGCGTATAAGACTACTTTTTAACCCAATAAAATCTTCTCAAAAGTCAGGGGTCGTCTTATACGCGGGTGTAGTCTTATGCATGGGAGTCGTCTTAACTCTATATTTTAACTGGAAAAGTTGGGGGTCGTCTTATACGTCCAGTCGTCTTATATGCCGGAATATACGGTATACTTTGAAATCTACATTATAAATTGCAAACAGCTCCAACACCTACAACAACCCAGTGACTCCGGCCATGAAAACCTTCAACAATACAATAAATAAAATGTAGGGTGGGAGGGGTTTCACCTGTTGGATGTACACCTGCGGAGCTATGCCACTGCAGTCTATGTACCTGGGCTCTCCCTTCTCCCTGCAGCAGCAACGGGAACAAGCCAAGGCGCCTCCGAAAGCAGGACTTCAGAAACACACCAATGAAAAGGAAGCCGCCACAACGGTGAGTGAGGAAGGGTCTCCCATGGAGCCCACCTGATTACACTGTTCAACGGAGAAAAAGTTTCGGACTTGAAAATAGTTGTTCTTTTATGATTTTGGGGTGCTGAAAACGAAAATGACATTTAAAAATGTATATTGGCTCTAGTTTTTATGATATAAGCAATCACGTGATCACGTATGGTTGAAAAAAATGCATGTTGCGACTTACACTATGGAAGATTCTAGAATATTCTAGAAAGTTTGATGACGCAGTATTAGTGCCGTGTGCAAAAGCAAGAAAGCCCTATATAAGGCCAGACTTTTGAACGGTGAGGGTCAGTCAGTTGAAGACTGAGACAGTATCGTTAAACATTGTTCGGAATCACTGGGTTGTTGTAGGTTTTTTCGGGCTGTATGGCCATGTTCTAGAGGCATTCTCTCCTGACGTTTCGCCTGCATCTATGGCAAGCATCCTCAGAGGTAGTGACGTCTGTTGGAACTAGGAAAATGGGTTTATATATCTGTGGAATGACCAGGGTGGGACAAAGGACTCTTGTCTGCTGGAGCTAGGTGTGAATGTTTCAACTGACCACCTTGATTAGCATTTAATGGCTTGGAAGTGCTTGGGGGGAATCTTTTGTTGAGAGGTGATTTGATGTGCTGACTTCCAACAGAGGCATTTTCTCCTGATGTTTCGCCTGCATCTATGGCAAGCATCCTCGGAGGTAGTGAGGTCTGTTGGAAGTCAGCCACATCAAATCACCTCTCAACAAAAGATTCCCCCCAAGCACTTCCAAGCGGCATTTCTCCTGACGTTTCGCCTGCATCTATGGCAAGCATCCTCAGAGGTAGTGACGTCTGTTGGAACTAGGAAAATCAGGTTTATATATCTGTGGAATGACATGGGTGGGACAAAGGACTGTTGTCTGCTGGAGCTCGGTGTGAATGTTTCAACTAACCACCTTGATTAGCATTTAATGGCTTGGAAGTGCTTGGGGGGAATCTTTTGTTGAGAGGTGATTTGATGTGGCTGACTTCCAACAGAGGCATTTTCTCCTGATGTTTCGCCTGCATCTATGGATAATCGGTTTTAATTGCATTATACTGAGTTCTTGTGGGTTTTTTCGGGCTCTATGGCCATGTTCTAGAGGCATTTCTCCTGACGTTTCGCCTGCATCTATGGCAAGCATCCTCAGAGGTAGTGAGGTCTCTTCCAACTCTTTGATTCTATGATTCTACAAGGAGCAGGAAGGCAGTGCCATGCCTGAAGGAAAACTTGCTGCGCAACAGGAATGCTCCTCTTTGCATCCTGCCCTGGAAACTCTGGAAAGCTCACCTTGTTTTTCCCTCCCTGCAGCAAGAGGTTCCTGCCTTGACTCCGCATCATGCACACAGTCCCCGGGGCTTCTTCCAGCAGCGGGAGCGATCGGGCTCTGCCTCGGAGCGGCCATCTTCTCCGGGGGGTCAGCCAGGTGAGTGGGGCACCCCTTCTCTGACAACAGCAGCCCTTAAAGCTGGACACCTCACATATGCACAGGGCAGGCAAGGTGTCACAGAGGGCGAAAGGGTGCGCTGGTCTTTGCTTAGAGCTCGGGACCTCATGCACAAAAGCGTTCCATTCTGGAGCACTTCATTTATTTATTGTGTCAGTATCAACCAGACATTTGTACAAACAAACAAACAGACAAAACACAGAGTTTGCAAGCTTGGTAGTTGATTAAATGTCCTTTGACCAGTATCTAGCCACTTGGAGTGCCTCTGGTGTTGCCGCAAGGAGGTCCTCCCTTGTGCATGTAGGTTGCATTGCAGCAGGTGGTCTGTGGTTTGCTCTTCTCCGCACTCGCATGTTATGGATTCCACTTTGTAGCCCCATTTCTGAAGGTTGGCTCTGCATCTCGTGGTGCCAGAGCACAGTCTGTTCAGCGCCTTCCAAGTCGCCCAGGGGGGAGTTTCTCATTTGGTATCAGCCATTGATTGAGGTTCTGGGTTTTAGCCTGCCACTTTTGGACTCTTGCCTGCTGAGGTGTTCCAGTGAGTGTCTCTGTAGATCTTAGAAAACTATTTCTTGATTTAAGTCGTTGATGTGCTGGCTGATACCCAAACAAGGGATGGGCTGGAGATGTCTCTGCCTTGGTCCTTTCACTATTGGCTGCTACTTCCCGGTGGATGTCAGGTGGTGCAATGCCAGCTAGCAGTGTAATTTCTCCAGTGGTGTAGGGCGCAGACACCCCGTGATAATGCGGCATGTCTCATTAAGAGCCACATCCACTGCTTTAGCGTGGTGAGATGTGTTCCACACTGGGCATGCGTACTCAGCAGCAGAGTAGCACAGCGCAAGGGCAGATGTCTTCACTGTGTCTGGTTGTGATCCCCAGGTTGTGCCTGTCAGCTTTCGTATGATATTGTTTCTAGCACCCACTTTTTGCTTGATGTTCAGGCAGTGCTTCTTGTAGGTCAGAGTACGGTCCAGAGTGACTAAAAACATCCCAAATATCCCAGCTACGCTCGGAAGTTCCACTGGTTTTCGGTCTTCATTGGAGGGCAAAGGTTCCCACTCCAAAGCAACACAAGACCCTCAATAGACCTTATTCGGTGGGTTTTCTGGTTTGGGTAGGGTTTCACATGCCTAACCTTTCCCAATAGGATCTGAAAGGGGAAAATTAAAAAAATTGCAAATTTTGAAACAATAGGACGGTGATGGGTCTCCTGCGTAAAAAGGAGCAACTTTACACCAGGTTTGGTCTCAGTGTTTGTGCAGAGAGGAAATTCCCAGGAGTGGAGTCAGCCACTGGAAAGTCTTTCCTCTCCTTGTGCTGAAAAGCAATATATTAGAATCATAGAATTCTAAAGTTGGAAGAGACCTCCTGGGCCATCCAGTCCAACCCCATTCTGCCAAGAAGCAGGAATATTGCATTCAAAGCACCCCTGACAGATGGCCATCCAGCCTCTGTTTAAAAGCTTCCAAAGAAGGAGCCTCCACCACACTCCGGGGCAGAGAGTTCCACTGCTGAACGGCTCCCACAGTCAGGAAGTTCTTCCTCATGTTCAAATGGAATCTCCTCTCTTGTAGTTTGAAGCCATTGTTCCATTGCGTCCTAGTCTCCAGGGAAGCAGAAAACAAGCTTGCTCCCTCCTCCTCCCTGTGGCTTCCTCTCACATATTTATACATGGCTATCATATCTCCTCTCAGCCTTCTCTTCTTCAGGCTAAACATGCCCAGCTCCTTTAAGCCGCTCCTCATAGGGCTTGTTCTCCAGACCCTGATCATTTTAGTCGCCCTCCTCTGGACACATTCCAGCTTGTCAATATCTCTCTTCAATTGTGGTGCCCAGAATTGGACACAATATTCCAGGTGTGGTCTAACCAAGGCAGAATAGAGCATGGGAAGCATGACTTCCCTGGTCCTAGACACTATACTCCTATTGATGCAACCTAAAATCCCATTGGCTGTTTTTGCCACCCTTTTTATTGTTTTTAATGTCCCTGGCAAGTCTGAGCTCATTTTGCTTTAGCCTTGCGGACCTTTTCCCTACAGGTGTTGGCTATTTGTTTGAATTCTTCTTTGGTGATTTCTCCCTTTTTCCACTTCTTGTGCATGTCTCTTTTGTGTCTTAGCACAGTTAGAAGTTCTTTGGACATCCATTCTGGCTTCTTTGCACTTGTCCTATTTTTTTCTCTTTGACGACACTGTTTGCAATTGCACCTTGAGTATTTCACTCTTGAACAACTCCCATCCATTGTCGAAGGCTTTCACAGTCAGAATCACTCGGTACGTTGTGTGGTTTCAGGACTGTATGGTCATGTTCTAGCAGTATTTTCTCCTGCATGTGTGGCTAATTGCATCTTCAGAGGTTCTGTTGCCAGTGAGGCAAGTGGCGTGTATACCTTCACTGACTGACTTTGCAAACTTTACGGCTACTCCATGTTATTCGAGCTTACCAATTGCAACATTCACATTTACTTCAAACGGACAAGGGATCTTTCTCCTACCCTGGAAGTGATTCCATAGGTATATATATACACTCCATTTGCTTCACTGCCAACAGAACCTCTGAAGATGCCATTAGCCACAGATGCAGGCAAAACGTCAGGAGAGAATGCTGCCAGAACACGACCGTAAGGCCTGAAAACCACACAACACCCCAAAGGCAATATATATCCCAACTGGATGCAGCACCCAATGCACACCCCAGGTTATGTGTGTATTTGCATGCATAGATTTGTGTGTGCATGTTCTGAATCTTTACGAGACGTGCGCAACCGTAAGACCCCGACAGGACCCCAATCTGCACACCAAAAGATGCCCTGAAGTTTGTTGGGTCAAGAGCCGGGGAGGGTCGGTTTCTCTGTGAGGGAAGATTGGGGGTGATGGGGTCTCCCTCCTTTCTTTATTTCAGGGTCTCCCTGAAGTGGGGGGCACCTTTACCCCCTCTCATTTCTCCCCTCCATCCAGGAGCACCACGAAGACCTTTCCTCCGCTACCAGCGCAGCCTGACGGAATCGGCCTACATCTTCCAGCGGCCGGACCCCCTCCGAAGCCCCTCTTCCCCATTGGGTGGCTTCCTGCCCTCTGGATCTCCCCATGGGGCAGCCCCCCACCCTAGCCCTCGCCAATCCAAGCCCTCTCCACCCCCCATTAGCCCCAAACCTGGGCCAGGAGCCCTCTCCCCCCTCCCGGACCCCAAAGGAAGGACCCCTCCCATTCCCAGTGTCAGGACCTCCGGTGGGGATGCCTCGGCCACTAGCCTCCAGGATTTGACACTGTGTGGCTCTCCTGGAGGGGGTCCCGCCAGCACCCCTTCCCCAGAACTGGGTAGCTCGCCCCCTCCTGCAAAAGCCAGGAGTCCCCCCTCGCCTTGCAGAGCTGTTGGCAGCCCTCCTTCCCCTGGCCCCACCCTCTCTGACCCACTTGGGGCCTGCCCAGAGGAGACCCTGCCCCATATTGAGTCCGCAGACCCCTCCCCTCAGAGCCCAAGCTGTTGTGGGGGTCCCAGCCAAGCAGAGGAGGAAGGGGGCCAATCCAGGAGCTGCTCAGCTGTGTCGCCCCCCACAAATGGCTTTCTGCAGGAAGAGGGTCTTGCAACAGGTAAGGATAGCCCCTTCCTTTCCACAGACCTCCCAACCCTTGGCTTGAGGTGGAAGTGGTCCCTCCTGTGGGGAAGGGGCACAACCCCAACAGATAGGAGGGTCTCGGAGGCTCAGGCAGCTTTGATTTGGGGGCATAGATGGATGGCCATTGGATGAGGAGGAAGAGACAAGCTCTTATCTTTTCTCTCATCCCTCCTCTGGTAGATGACCCCCCAATTCGACCTGGTCAAGCCGAATTGGTCGCATCCTCACAGAAAGGGACGGGATCCATGGAAGAAGAGGTGAAGTGTCCCAAAGGTCACGGATTGGACACGGGAGTCCAGGTAAGTGCCTGCCAACCTGCTAACTGAGGGGGTGGGACAGGGGCCCCTTCCTCTCTTGGTGGCTATTTTATTTCTTACTAGCTTGGGAACCCGGTGTTGCCCGGGTTATTAGAGAAAGTGGGTAATGGCAGTTCTGTATACCAAGTCTGGTCTTTTTTGGTCCTTGGCTGACGGTTGCGTTGTTTTCAGGAAGTGAGTGAAGGTACTTGAAGTCCCATCATCCATGGTCCACCCTCCTCCAAATAGCAGCAGGATATAGAGTGGGTCATGGGGGCTCTGTGTGCCAAGTTTGGTCCTGGTCTGTGATTTGTAGGGGCTACAATGTTCTGTGGGATGTGAATCGGGTGAAGGTACTACAAATCCCATCATTCGTGGCTCATCCTGCCCTAAACTGCATCAGGTTTAAAGTGGGCCAGTGGGCCTCTGTGTGCCAAGTTTGGTCCTGATCCGTCATTGGTGTGGGCCACAGTGCTCTAAGGAAGTGAGTTAAACTACTGCAAGTCCCATCATCCATGGTCCACCCTCCTCCAAACTGCAGCAGGATATAGAATGGGTCATGAGTGTTCTGTGTGCCAAGTTTGGTCCTGGTCTGTGATTTGTAGGGGCTACAATGTTCTGTGGGATGTGAATCGGGTGAAGGTACTACAAATCCCATCATTCGTGGCTCATCCTGCCCTGAACTGCATCAGGTTTAAAGTGGGCCAGTGGGCCTCTGTGTGCCAAGTTTGGTCCTGATCCGTCATTGGTGTGGGCCACAGTGCTCTAAGGAAGTGAGTTAAACTACTGCAAGTCCCATCATCCATGGTCCACCCTCCTCCAAACTGCAGCAGGATATAGAATGGGTCATGAGTGTTCTGTGTGCCAAGTTTGGTCCTGGTCTGTGATTTGTAGGGGCTACAATGTTCTGTGGGATGTGAATCGGGTGAAGGTACTACAAATCCCATCATTCATGGCTCATCCTGCCCTGAACTGCATCAGGTTTAAAGTGGGCCAGTGGGCCTCTGTGTGCCAAGTTTGGTCCTGATCCATCATTGGTGTGGGCCACAGTGCTCTAAGGAAGTGAGTTAAACTACTGCAAGTCCCATCATCCATGGTCCATCCTCACTCAAACTGCACCAGGATGTAGAGTAGGTCTCGTGGGGGTCTGTGTGTCAGGTTTGGTCTTGTTCTGTCATTGTTGGGGGCCACAAAGTGTTTTGGACTTCAACCATTCCCGACAGCTTCAGGCCCCTTTCCTATTCCCTCTGCTACCTCAGAATGTTAAGGTTGGCCAATCAGAGACCATATGCAAATTGTACCACAGTGGCAGCCAATCGGAAAGCTGCCACATACACTTCCGCCCTACTTCCGCCCTCCGCATACATACAAACACTGATTTTTATTATATACATAGATAGATAGATAGATAGATAGATAGATAGATAGATAGATAGATAGATAGATAGAGATATAGATAAGATATATAGATAGTTATATATTACAATTATATATTTTTTGTTATTTAAACTAAATATTGCGAAATTATGTTGTTTTTTTTTCTTGAAGTGACACACCACCTGAATTATGCTTGGTTTTTTTTGGTGAATTTTGACACACCACGCTCAAAAGGTTGCCCATCACTGACCTAGGGTGTTGTAAAATACCTCCCCGCTTTAAAAGCAGTCCCTAATTTCTCTACTCACAGCTCAGCTGTTTTCGAACTGCTTAGGTGGACAGTAAGCTAGGCTTAACAGTTGGGTGCTCAATCCGACTCGGGCTTTAAATTTATCACCTTCCAGTCGGCAGTGATTTGTTTACAGTATTTATATTCCGCCCTCCTCACCCCGCAAGGGACTCAGGGCAGATGCTGCTGGAAATTTTAATGTCATTGTAAATTAGTTAAATTACTTGATGGAGTACTTCCTCATTCTTTCGCCTGCTGCTGGAGATTTTTATGTCATTGTAAAATTAGTTAAATTACTAGATGGAGTACTTCCTCATTCTTTCACCTGTTGCTGCAAATTTTTACGTCGTAAATTAGTTAAATTACTTGGTGGCGTACTTCCTCATTCTTTCGCCCGCTGCTGGAGATTTTTATGTCAATGTAAATTAGTTAAATTACTTGATGGAGTACTTCCTCATTCTGTTGCCTGCTGCTGGAAATTTTTATGTCATTGTAAATTAGTTAAATTACTTGATGGAGTACTTCCTCATTCTTTCGCCCACTGCTGGAGATTTTTATGTTGTTGTAAAATTAGTTAAATTACTTGGAGTACTTCCGCATTCTTTCGCTCACTGCTGGAGATTTTTATGTCAATGTAAATTAGTTAAATTACTTGATGGAGTACTTCCTCATTCTGTTGCCTGCTGCTGGAAATTTTTATGTCATTGTAAATTAGTTAAATTACTTGATGGAGTACTTCCTCATTCTTTCGCCCACTGCTGGAGATTTTTATGTTGTTGTAAAATTAGTTAAATTACTTGGAGTACTTCCGCATTCTTTCGCTCACTGCTGGAGATTTTTATGTTGTTGTATAATTAGTTAAATTACTTGATGGAGTACTTCCTCATTTTTTGGCCCACTGCTAGAAATTTTTATGTCGTTGTAAATTAGTTAAATTACTTAGTGGCGTACTTCCTCATTCTTTCGCCTGCTGCTGGAGATTTTTATGTTGTTATAAAATTAGTTAAATTACTTGATGGAGTACTTCCTCATTCTTTCTCCCGCTGCTGGAGATTTTTATGTCATTGTAAATTAGTTAAATTACTTGGAGTACTTCCTCATTCTTTTGCCCGCTGTTGGAAATTTTTATGTCGTTGTAAAATTAAATTACTTGATGGAGTACTTCCTCATTCTTTCACCCGCTGCTGGAGATTTTTATGTCATTGTAAAATTAGTTAAATTACTTGATGGAGTTGGAAGAGACCACATGGGCCATCTAGTCCAACTCCCTGCCATGCTTCCTTCCCCAGGTGGACTCACCTGCTGGCGCCAACCTCCCTGGAACAGTGCTTGAAGACCCTACGGCAGGTAACAACCTTTTTCCCCTACTGTTTTCTACTTCCATTTTTCCTATTCTGTCCCATCTCCATCATACTTCTTCCTCTCCAGGTGAGGGGACACAAAATGGGGAGCGTTCCCCCTCCGTGGAAGCCCCCAAATACGACGTGGACCGAAAATGGCAGGAAGCAGAGGCCTGACTGCTCTTCCTGCCGACGCATGGCTCGCTCCGACACTATTCCAGGTTGCTTCTGCTTTGGGGAGCCCCTCCCTACAACAGTGCACTTCTCACCCATCTCCACTTGCAGCCCCCCCCCCCAGCAAATAAAGCTTCAACAGGGTCCAACTTGTGTGGGGTGGTCATTTGGGGGAGGCAGCTCCAATGAGCAAAATGGCAAAGGAAAGAGCCAAAGCGTGGGTCCGTGCGCCGGAATAACTCACCCAGACAAAAATCCTCCAAAATAAAAGTTTATTCAGGAGGGGAGGCAGCCCCACCCCTTGAAACAGACACAATGGGGAGGGGGCTTTGTGCCTGGCATCCTTCCCTCCCCCCCTCAAAAAAACATTGGAAACGATATTGACTTTTAAACAGCATCTAGGGTTTGGTTAGAGAAAGGGGGAAGAACAGCTTGATGAATTTTGTCCATTTGGCTGCTAATCAAATAGCCAAATATCCTCACAAGACATTTGACTGATCCAAAGCAACAAATTGTAATCTCCTCTCCAGAGCAGTCCATTCCAGTTTCTCACCAAGGAATGAAGGAGATGGAGGGAGGGAATGAGGGAGGGAGGGGGAAAGAAGAAAGGAAGGATGGAAGAAAAGAAGGAGGGAGTGAAGGAAGAAGGGAGGGAAGGAGGGAGGGAAATAGGGAAGGAAAGTAGGAAGGGGAGGAAAAGAGGAAGAAGGAGGCAAAGGAAGGAGGGAGGGAGGGAGGGAGGGAGGGAGGGAGGAAGGAAGGAGGAAGGAAGGAAGGAAGGAAGGAAGGAAGGAAGGAAGGAAGGAAGGAAGGAAGGAGGGGGAGAAGGAGAGAAAGTGAAGGAAGGAAAGACAAAAGGGAAGGAGGAAAGAGGAAGGAGAGAAGGGAGGGAGGAAGAAAGGAAGGAAGGAAGGAAGGAAGAAGAAGGAAGGAAGGAAGGAAGAAAAGGAAGGAAGGAAGGAAGGAAAAAGGAAGGAGGGAAGGAGGGAGAGAAAAGGGAGGAAGGAAAGAAGGGAAGGAGGAAAGGAAGGAAGGAGAAGGAAGAAACAAAAGGGAAGGAAGGAGAAAAAGAGGGAGGGAGGAAGGAGAGGAGAAAAGAGGGAAGGAAGGGAAGAAGGAAGGAGAGGAGAAGGAAGAGGAAGGAGGAAGGAGGGAAGGAAGGAGGGAGAGAAATAGGGAAGGAAGGAAGGAAGAAAATAGGGAAGGAAAGGAGAAAAGAGGAGGGAAGAAGGAAGGAGGGAGGAAGGAGGAAAAGGAAGGAAGGAGGGAAGAAGGAAGGAAGGAAGGAAGGAAGGAAGGAAGGAAGGGGAAAGAAAGGTGGATGGAAGGAAGAAAACAGGGAAGGAGGGAAGAAGGAGGGAGAGAGGGAAGAAGGAAGGAGGGAAGGATGGAGAAGGAAGGAAGGAAGGAGTAAAATAGGGAAGGAGGGAGGGAGGGAGGGAGGAGGGAAGGGAAGGAAAGAAAGAAGGAAGGTGCTTTCACTCCTGAAACAAAGCGCTTCAGGTCAAAATGGTCTCGTTGGAACCAGGCATGGGGTCCATCCCTTCCCATGGACCCACCAGGGCATGAACCACCTTTGTCAGTCTTTGGAGGGTCCAACAGACCAAGAGTTCCTGGCTGGACAGAGGGGGAGACCCCTTTGCTTCCTGGTCAAGTCATAATGGTGACTCCTAGGGGCCAGTTGTGGATCTTCCTCCCTCCCCAATAACCCCACCAGGGCATGGACCCAACTTTGGCAAAGTCCAACGAGTGTCCAAGAGCTTCCGGATGAACCGGAGACCCCTTTACATCCTGGTCCTTCAAGAAGGCAGGCCTCCCGACACAAAGCAGGCTGCAGCCCAGTCCCTCATGCTGACCACTGGACTCCGGCCAGTGCTCTCCTCCTCGTTGTCTTCATACCTGAGACTGGAGCCACAAGCGAGGGTCGAAACGTGGCCGAGAGGGGTGTGGCCGAGGGGGCCGCTCCGGCTCCGGGGTGGTGCTGCCCCCGCTGCTGGAGGAGGAGCCGCAGGGTGAGGGTCTGCGGCCGCGAGGGGGAGGCGAGGGGCCTCGGGGAGGGCGCCCCGAGCGGCCCTTGAGCGTGCTGAGCTTGGCGTCCAGGGAGAGGGTCCGGGGTCGGCCCCAGCGGGGGGGTGGGGGGCAGGGGCTGGTGCTGGCCGTGCTGTCGCTGTCCGAAGCCCCGCCACCCCGCGGGGAGCCCCCCTCAAAGAGGGACAGCCAGGCAGGGCCACCGAGGCCAGAGACCCGCCGAGCCAGGATGTCCGTCACCGCCTCGATGTCATCTGCTGGGTCAATAGCTGTGGAAGAGGAAGAGGAGTGAGAGATTATGGGGAGATGGATTATCATCATTGTTATTGTACTTACGTAACAAAATTCAATAAACTTTCCGTTCCTGGTTTGAGAGTGTTATTTCCTGTTTCGTTGTACAGTCCTTACTTTGAAAGGAGTCGTTCTACTCCGTAAACTTCGTTTTTGTGGCACAAACTAGATTGGGACTCTTATGAGATGTTTATTGAAAAATGTGCTATAGTACGACCTCCCTCCCACCAAAACAAAGTTTGTGCAGGCTAATAAACTTTCCCCATGTTTTTATGATTCATCAATTACGAAAATACACTTACAACCCAGGAACAAAAATTGTGTTATGTCCTGTTATTCCCCCTGCCTTATGGAGAATGCTTCCACAGTCCATTGTAACACACCCAAAGCACTATTTGGGGGGGTCTTCCCCCCCTTAATATGAGGGTTATCCAGAAAGTAAGGTGACAAGGCATGTAGCTCTCACAGGGAATTTTCTTGGGGGAAGTTGGTTTCACTGCTGTGTAGCTGGAAACCAGTGGAAGTTAACGAGCACTGCCAGTCGTCAGTAGCTCATCGACTGGCATTGTGGTGAAAGTTAGAGATGAGCGCCCTCATTCCATTTCCCTCCAAGTGCAAAGTTCATGCTGTATGAGGGTTATCCGGAAAGTAAGGTTACAAGGCATGTAGCTGTTGCGGGGAATTTTCTTGGGGAAAGTAGGTCTTACGGCCGTGTAGCTGGAAGCCAGCAGAAGGGAATGAGCACTGCCAGTTGTCAGTAGCTCATCAACTGGCATTTTCCTCCAAGTGCGAAGTTCATGCTGTATGAGGGTTATCCGAAAAGTAAGGTTACAACACAAGTAGCCCTTGCAGGGAATTTTCTTGGGGGAAGTTGGTATCGCAACCATGTAGTGGGAAGACAGCAGAAGTGAACGAGCACTGCCAGTCGTCAGTAGCTCATCGACTGGCATTGTGGTGAAAGTTAGAGATGAGCGCCCTCATTCCGTTTTCCTACAAGTTCATGCTGTATGAGGGTTATCAGGAAAGTAAGATGACAAGGCACATAGCTCTTGTGGGGAAATTACCATCTGCCAGCTGCAAAAGGCCACCCAACTTGTATCTGCGGGCATTATTTGCCAACACATCACAGAGCCCTAGACACTTGGGAAGTGTCCGACGTGTGATCCAATATAACAGCCAGCTTGCTGTGGACTCATCTTGTTATGTTTGCTGTGGACTCATCTTGTTATGTTTCAAATAATAATAGAGTAAAATAATAAATGTAATTATAAAATAATAATATATAATCTTGACTTGAGTATCAACCAAGGGGGGGCTTTTTCAGCCTTAAAAAGGGCTGAAAAACTCAGCTTATACTTGAGTATATACGGTAAGTCTCAATCTGTTGTAACTAAGGCAGTAATGTAAACAAAAGGTAAGCCCCACTTGTGGAAGCCAATTGCCTTGATACTTGGGTCCTCCAGGTGTTTTGGACTCCAACTCCCACAATTCCTATTTATAGGAATTGTGGGAGTTGAAGTCCAAAACACCTGGAGGGTCCAAGTTGGCCCAGGCCTGCTGTAGAAGGATGTCAACCACATGCATCATCATGCAAGCTCTCCTTACCCACCCTCCATCCATGAAGCCCCCCACCCAGACCCTTCCTCACTTTCCTCTGCCCCTTTGGGGGGGGGGGTGCATGGCTACTTCACCTGTCACTGTAATAGGCTGAGAGGAGAGCCCGGATCTCGGCAGAGACTGCGTTGTCCTGCAACAGGAGCCCCTCGCAGCCGGAGGGCGGACCCCCGGGGCCAGGGAGAGCTGGCCGGGCCAAGTGGACAAAGGAAGAAAGAGAGAGCGAGAAAGAAAGAAAGAAAGAAAGAAAGAAAGAAAGAAAGAAAGAAAGAAAGAAAGAAAGAAAGAAAAGGGACATGCAGAGAGAGAAAGCAGGAGGAGAGCAGAGAGTTACAGACACATAGACCCAAAGAGTTGGGGGCAACAAAGAACAAGAAGGGGGGGAACGGGGTCCAGGAAACCAAAGAAACCCCTTCCCCTCCAAGAGAGAGGACAGAGAAGAGGGGAGACCTCTTGACCCTCTTGCAAAGCCAAAGGGACGTTCAGTGGGTCCCCAGACACAGCATTGGGGGGTCTTCCCACCCCGCAAATTCATGCAAAGCGGAGCCCTCCACTCACTCACCCATTTCATGGTAGAGGGAGCCTTGTTTGGACAGCAAAGCCGGGGGACGTCGTGGGGACGGCACCTCCACCTTCATGAGTTCGTCGCAGCAGTGCTTCCATTGACCTGTGGGGAAACAAGACAGTATTGGGTTGTTGTAGGTTTTTTGGGCTATATGGCCATGGTCTAGAGGCATTCTCCTGACGTTTCGCCTGCATCTATGGCAAGCATCCTCAGAGGTAGTGAGGTCTGTTGGAACTAGGAAAAGGGGTTTATATATCTGTGGAATGACGAGGGTGGGACAAAGGACTCTTGTCTGCTGGAGCTAGGTGTGAATGTTTCAACTGACCACCTTGATTAGCATATAATGGCCTGACAGTGCCTGGAGCAATCTTTTGTTGAGAGGTGATTAGATGTCCTTGTTTGTTTCCTCTCTGTTGTTGTGCTGTTGTAATTTTAGAGTTTTAGAGACAGTATTGCTTGGACTTTTTACATATGGTAAAAAGGGCAGTTTGAAACTGGTATTGAAAAAAGTGTGGGGGGGGAGGGTTGCTGTGCAGATGATTACATAATAAATCTTGGAACCTTTTTTCAATTAAAAATAATCATTTTTAATTATTAAAAAATAATTATTTTTTAATTTTAAAAAAATAAGTTTAAAATAATTTAAAATAATAATTTGAAAAATAACTAAAAATCATGATTTGAAAATTAATAATTAAACATAATAATTAAAAAATAAATTGTTAAGGTCTTCTGGGGTGGTCCTGCTCTCGGTCCCGCCTTTCTCGCAGGCACACTTGGCGGGGACGGGAGACAGGGCCTTCTCAGTGGTGGCCCCTCGACTGTGGAATGCCCTGCCTAGGGATGTAAGATTGGCCCCCTTCCTTCTGACATTCCAAAAAAAAGGTTTTTAAAACCTGGCTTTTTGAGCAAGCTTTCGCTAATGCAGCATAATTATTTGAAATCATTGAACAACTTGATGATGCAATTTAATAATGACTTTGACATCCACACTGGCAAAGAAACAGCAAGAAATACTGTATTGTCGAAGGCTTTCATGGCTGGAATCTCTCAGTTCTTGTGGGTTTTTTTCGGGCTATATGGCCATGTTCTAGAGGCATTTCTCCTGCATCTATGGCAAGCATCCTCAGAGGTGAGCAAGAAATACTGTTTACTCACAAGCATAAAGGAATTACATATATTAGAAATCAACACTTTCTCATTACTTTATTTTCCAGATCAACAGACTGGGCCACAGCAACGCGTGGCAGGGGACGGCTAGTCTACATAAATAAAAATGTAATGTTCGTTGGTGGGATTGTTGTTGTTCATTCGTTCAGTCGTCTCCGACTCTTCGTGACCTCATGGACCAGCCCACGCCAGAGCTCCCTGTCGACCGTCACCACCCCCAGCTCCTTCAAGGTCAGTCCAGTCACTTCAAGGATGCCATCATCCATCTTGCCCTTGGTCGGCCCCTCTTCCTTTTGCCTTCCACTTTCCACAGCATAATTGTCTTCTCTAGGCTTTCCTGTCTCCTCATGATGTGGCCAAAGTACTTCAACTTTGTCTCTAGTATCCTTCCCTCCAGTGAGCAGTCGGGCTTTATTTCCTGGAGGATGGACTGGTTGGATCTTCTCGCAGTCCAAGGCACTCTCAGCACTTTCCTCCAACACCACAGCTCAAAAGCATCTCTCTTCCTTCGCTCAGCCTTCCCGAAGGTCCAGCTCTCACATCCGTAGGTGACTACAGGGAAGACCATGGCTTTGACTAGGCAATGGATCTTTGTTGCCAGTCTGATGTCTCTACTCTTCACTATTTTATCGAGATTGGACATTGCTCTCCTCCCAAGAAGTAAGCGTCTTCTGATTTCCTGGCCACAGTCTGCATCTGCAGTAATCTTTGCACCTAGAAATACAAAGTCTGTCACGGCCTCCTCGGTTTCTCCCTCTATTTTCCAGTTGTCAATCATTCTTGTTGCCATAATCTTGGTTTTTTTGACGTTTAGCTGCAACCCGGCTTTTGCGCTTTCTTCTTTCACCTTGATGAGAAGGCTCCTCAGCTCATCCTCACTTTGGGCTTTGTATTAGTATTTATATTTTTTTTTTTTTTTTTTTTTTTTTTCTTTTTTTTTCTTTTTTTTTTTTTTGTTTAGCTGCAACCCGGCTTTTGCGCTTTCTTCTTTCACCTTTGATTAGAAGGCTCCTCAGCTCCTCCTCGCTTTCGGCCATCAGAGTGGTGTCATCTGCATATCTGAGGTTGTTAATGTTTCTTCCAGCAATTTTCACCCCAGCTTTGCATTAATCCAGCCCCGCACATCGCATGATGTGTTCTGCATACAAGTTAAAAAGTTGGGTGAGAGGATGCAGCCTTGCCGTACGCCTTTCCCAATCTTGAACCAGTCTCCTGTTCCGTGGTCAGTTCTGACTGTTGCTCCTTGGTCCTTGTACAGATTCCTCAGGAGAGAGACAAGGTGGCTTGGGATGCCCATCCCACTAAGAACTTGCCACAATTTATTATGATCCAATGGTGGGATTAACCTAACTCAAAAACCACTGGATGAATTGATACCAAATTTGGACACAAGACACCTAGCAGGTCAACAAGTGACCATCACTCATAAATACACTGAAAAAGGCAGTGGAGAGAGACTTTAAAAGTCAAAAAATAAAAAAATACATTACAACGCATGTGCAAAACCTGAACGAATAAACAACAACAACAACAACAACAACAACAACAACAAGGGAAATCCTGGAACCAATTTGAAGCCCAGATGACTGCAAAAACCACAGAGCATGTTGAGGCACATTAAGGGCTTTCTTTCATGCCCTTTTGGGGGGGGTGTATTGCCTGGTCCCTACAGTTTGAAGCTAGCTTTGAACCACATTAAATGGTCAGTGTAGATGGGGGCTTGAGTTGTGGGAATAGGTCATGCAAAAGATAGGACACAAAGGCCATGGATGTGATAATAATGATGGTGAAAAATTACTCCAGTTGTGACTGGTTGCTGCACAACATTGGCACACGGATGTATTTCCAAACTGACCGCCCCTCTCTACTTACTCATGTCGTAGAAGTGCTGCCAAAAGGCCTCCATCCAGCGCTGGGTCTCAGCACGCGACTCCGCCAGCAGCGTGTGGGTCACCTCCTCGGCCCCATAGCGGTTGGTCACCGTCATGCAGTGCAAGCGGTTCTTGGGGTCCTTCTCGGTGGCGCGGATCCGCGTCTCCTGCAGGCACGTGCGAGAGAGAAAGAAGTGGCTATGCAACATATGTGACGTTCATGCAGGCATGGGCCAACTTTGGGAGAACAAGCAGGTCAAGAATAGAGTCCCACAGCCACCTACAGACCCACCGTCAGGACAGCGAACTTGGAGGACCATCGCCTAAGTAAGTAAGAAGCTGGATTGTGTCCAGAGTGTTGAAGCATGTAAAAATCAGTTAGTATGTGTTAACTGAATATGCAAAACACAAAGCTGTTTTGCATATTCAGTAGCTAGCTGAGCCTGGGAATTTTGGCAACAGTTGCATATTGAGGCTTGAACTGTGCAAGAGCTTTGCAGAGACAGATTTGCTTCTGAGCTGCTGGAAGGAGGTCTCTCACGTGGACACTTAAGGACCATTTCGAATCTCTCAAAGGACATTGTGTCAGTCAATGTAACTGTTCACATGGGTGTACATATGTTGGTATGCATATCAAAGAGTAAAACTTCTTGTTCTTCATTGATCACCTACATGGCATATCTTTTCTTTGGGAAGACTGTGTGGACTGGTGAAACGTGAACTACGCATGATTTTCATTTCGCTACACAAGGAGGGCGACTCACAGGATCAAGGGTCTGGGGAACAAGCCCTATGAGGAGCGGCTGAAAGAGCCGGCCATGTTTAGCGTGCAGAAGAGAAGGCGGAGAGGAGACATCAAGTTTCCAGACTGCACCAAATGGGGAGGGATAGCCAGTACCCCAGATGACAGGGGCAGAATTCAAAATAATCTTGAACAGATTAGAGAGATGGGCCAAAAATAACAAAATGAAGTTCAACAGGGACAAATGCAAGATACTCCACTTAGGCAGAAAAAATGAAATGCAAAGATACAGAATGGGGGATGCCTGCCTCAAAAAGATCTTGGGGTCCTCGTGGACAACAAGTTAAACATGAGCCAACAATGTGATGTGGCGGCAAAAAAAGCCAATGGGATTTTGGCCTGCATCAATAGGAGCCTAGTGTCTAGATCTAGGGAAGCCATGCTCCCCATGCTCTATTCTGCTTTGGTTAGACCACACCTGGAATATTGTGTCCAATTCTGGGCACCACAATTCAAGAGAGATATTGACAAGCTGGAATGTGTCCAGAGGAGAGCGACTAAAATGATCAAGGGTCTGGAGAACAAGCCCTATGAGGAGTGGCTTAAACAGCTGGGCATGTTTAGCTTGCAAAAGAGAAGGCGGAGAGGAGACATGATGAGGGCCAGGGTTCAAGAGGTGAGGGGAAGCCATAGGGAGGAGGGAACAGGCTCCCTTTCTGCTGCCCTGGAAACAAGGACACAATGGAGTAATGGCTTCAAACTACAGGAAAGTAAGGAGATGCCACCTGAACATGAGGAACAACTTCTTAACTGTAAGGAGAGCTGTTCAGCAGGGAACTCGCTGCCCCGGAGTGTGGTGGAGGCTCCTTCTTTGGAGCTTTTAAGCAGAGGCTGGATGGCCATCTGTCAGGGGTGTTTGAATGAGATTTTCCTGCTTCTTGGCAGAATGGGGTTGGACTGGATGGCCCACCAGGTCTCTTCCAACTCTAGGATTCTATCATTCTATGAAAACAGCTGAAAGAAGCCATGAAGGCACAGGTACCTGCCTCTCAAGTCCTTAAGAAAAAGCAACACGTTGCTTCCAGAAAGAAATTAGTGTTGCTTCTGCTCTTGCGCAAAACGCAAAACATGCAACATCCACTTCCCTGCTGGTAGCAACTCTTCCAATGGGGATTGTGTTCCCCACTGAAAGATACCCCTGGATTGCAACCCCCTAGCATCAAAAGTGTGGGATGCTAGGAGTTACAATCGCAATGCACCTGGAGACAGACCCTGCTCTACTTGGAGGCTATGAGCCACGACGGTGAAGGAGCATGAGTGGAACGAGGGTGAAGGCGCATGAGTGGAACGTGCGAGAGGCAGGAAACAAACACGGCTGCAATTTAGAAACAGAACATCCCCTTCCGTCTGTGGGAATGACTCCTCCCTCCTTTGCAGAGTGGCACACTCACATACAACACATGCTCAGGCGCCATGCACAACTCCGGCCACAAGCGGGCAGCTGTTCAGGGCTGGGAAGTGCTCAGGCCAGTGTTCCTCCA